TCCTAACTCTGGGAAACAAACTAGGGGTGGTGGAAGGGGAGGAGGGCGGGGGGTGGGGGTGAATGGGTGATGGGCACTGAGGGGGGCACTTGACGGGATGAGCACTGGGTGTTATTCTGTATATTGGCAAATTGAACACCAATAAAAAATAAATTTATTATTAAAAAAAAAACCTCTTCACTGTCATAGGAATAGGACAAAATAAACATAATAATCCGTCTTTCTTAAGGAACAGGTTTACCATTTGATCTAAAATATCTTATGCCAGATGGTACAGAAATAAGATAGTAAGTACATGCATTTTCTCTATTGTATAAAATATTATTAGAATAATTACAGTAGCAGTAATTTCTCCAATACTATTTTAGATTTACTTAATTATATACTGAGAAAAAGAAAACACAGCATAACATTACAGTACAACCTGATATATATATGGTCTTCAAAATAACTTTTTAAGATTGCTTTATATAATTTAAAGAATCCAACAATTATTTATTTTATATCAATATATTGGAAATAATAGTAAGGATTACTATAGCTCTTTATAAATTGTTACCTTATACTAGTATCTTTAAATGTTCTGACTCTGTGTAGACATTTTATTTTGTTGTTACTTTCATTAACGTAATGTATACATAGTACTTTATTGCGTATTCATTACCACTATCCATCTCCAGAGCTTTTATCATCATCCCAAACTGAAACTTTGCATCCATTAAACAATAACTCCTCATTTCCTTGGCCCCTTGTAAACACTGTTATACTTTCTGTCTCTGTGAATATGACTATTTACTTATGACTATATTTACCTTATAAAAGGGAGACTATAAGATATTTTCCCTTTTATGTCTGGCTAATTCACCTAGCATAGTGTCTTCAGGCTTTATACATGTTGTAGCATGTATCAGAATTTCTTTCCTTTCTGGGGATCCCTGGGTGGCTCAGCGGTCCTTTCTAAGGCTAAATAATATTCCATTGTTTCTACGTTTTGGTTATTGTGAATAATGCTCCTATGAATGCTGGTGTAGAAATGACAGTTTGAATCTTTGCTTCCTATTGTGTGTATTTACCTCTCAAAACAGTTTGATATTTAAATTAATAAGTCTTTATTACAAAGGAAAACCCAAAACGAATGTGGAAAGTTGAGGTGAGAGAAATTTAGCTACTTGTTAGATTCATTGACCTGTATTTATACTTTATTAGAAAGTGAATTTTAGTGTCTGTGGAAATGGAAATCATGAATTTTATTAGATATGAGGTCTATAAAATGCCAGTATCTATTTCTGCCTATGGGTTAATTATATGGATATTTTCTCATTTTTAGGGTCTTAAAAATATTGTGATTAACATGGACACATTGTGTTATGCGTCCAGTTGACTTCTTATTTATAAAATGAGAACGCCGTTGATTAAATTTAGATTTAATGATACATTGCAAAGAGGAGAATGAGATATAGAGGAACACAGACAGAGCACTTGTACACAGTGATGCAAATGGTAAAGAAAGGGGAGTTCTGTAATTGTATATGATAATGACCCAGTCAATCCATCCATCCCTGAGAGAATGCTCCTTTGCATTATGAGAGAAGACAGTGGACTTTGGGAAAGCTCATGTAAAACTAATTATAGAGATGTGGCACTAAAGTGACATGGGAAAACAAATAATGGTAAATAACATCTTGAATTTATTTAGCACTTATTACTTGTTAGTTTTTGGAGAGTTTTATTTGCATTATCATATTTAATCTTTAAAACTACTCTATGTGCTAGATGCCATTATGTTTCATTATGCAGATGATGTGAGTAATTTGCCCAAGGTCACACAGTTGGTAAGTATAGATTCTGAGTCTTAGATGCCAAACCAGAATGGAGAACCTGAGTTCTGATAAAGTACACTGTGGACATCCAGGGACACCCCTGAAAAATTATGAAACAAAACAAAACAAAACTCACAAAGACTATATATGGGACAGCTAATCAACTCTCTCTGATTGTTGTTATTCTGTGTTCGTTCCCAAAGTCTCTTTAACCACATTCACGTTTTAGAGGTAGCATTTTTCCTTTACTATGAAGTAACTGACTTAGGAAAATGTGATAATTCTTTAAAATGTATCTTTTTAGATTAAAAAAATTTAAAAAAGGTTTTATGTGTTTATTTGAGAGAGAGAAAGAGAGCAAGTGCAGGTGCCTGTAAGCACCTCTGCAGGAGAGAGGAGGCACAGGGGTGGGGGTAAGCAAGATGGAGGGGGAGAAGGAGAAGAAGAGGTAGAAGGAGAGGGGGAAGCAATCTGCTCATTTAGCAGGAAGTCAGGCAGAAGGCTTGATTCTAGGACCCTGGGATGGTAAGCTGAGCCAGAGGTGGATGTTTCACTGACTGAGCCATCCAGGTGCCCATATATGTATCTTTGTTTATAATTGGATGATCAGATTAGGTGTTTATTAAGACCTCAAAATTTTTGCTGCATCATTTTTATGGTCACTACTCGATCATTAAAAGAAATGCTTGCTTATGTGGGGAACAGATTTTACTATAGACTGCTAAATAGAAACATATTCAGATATGTATTGTGATCATATTTTTCAAAAAGATCTGGACTAGATTCAAAATTTCAGAGTCCATAATTTCCAGTATTTTGCTGATTTGAAAGTCTTTCCCAGTATCTTACACTTTGCATACCATAGACATGGGCTATTTTTCTGCTTTATGTTGAGTTTCACATAGTGTAGGTCTTAATTTATGTTAGTTCTCATTGTGGGATAGTTATAGATTTAACTTTTTGGAGCATTACTCAATGATTTATTTGTTCTTATTGATTGTGTTAAGAAATTTGAAGTATCTCATGAATGTTGGAAGCAGATATATTTATTTTTAATAAAATACTGCATTGGTAAAGTATAGAATTTTGTATCATTTTGAGTCAAATCACTAGTTTTCAATAGCCTAAAATAATAATTATGTTCATAAGCACATTTTAATAGTCAAATATTTATCAAACCTTAAAATGCATAAGGTACATATATCGATCCTGGTGATATGTGTACCTTTATTAAAAAGATGTGTTTACTCTCTGGGCAGATCTAATAGATGATGGGAAAACACAGCTAGGGAAAACACAGCTATTAACAAATGAGTGCTACAGGACAAGGGGTTGGATTCTCCTAATGGAAGTTACCTCTTGAATGCTCAAACAATCCCTATGAATTGTGAGTATTTGCCATTATAAATGCAGACACAGCTTTATAACTGTGAGTGAAGATATTTATGTATGCAATGAACTGCTGGAAGCTCCGAAGATGGAACTCCTTTAAGTAGCTAGTCTCTCCTGATATCTTAAAGTTCAGAATTTGGTTTTCTGGAAGTATAAAACTTCTGAAGGGGGAGTCCTGTATTGAGGCTGGATCACCCTGCAGTCTAACTCCGGATTCAAAGTTCAGGAAATCTGAAACTCCTCTACTTCCAATTTAGTTCCCCCAAACCAAACTTGATCAATTTCAAAGCTTATGTCACTCAGTTCATTTATGGTTTTCACTGGTTCCTATCTGCCTTTTCTGTTTTCTCTCTTCTATGTTTATATTCTCCCTCTGATTTTGAGTACAAATTAGCATGTCTAGAAGCATAAAGAATAAATGATCTCATTTCCTTCACAAATGATAGTCTACAAATATAGATGTTATAATGGAGCACATTTAAAATAATTCTGCCAAAACAAAATTGCACCCATTACATGTACAGTTGGCATTGAATGGTATCTGGTAGTCTTCAGGGATAATTTATTTTCCTTAGGTAAGAAGGAATGTCTTGTATTCCACATAGACTCAGATAATCAAGAACTTAACAGTATGAACAAAATATCTGGTCTAGTCGATTCATCACTTTAATAATCAAATAACCTTTAACACATGCTAATTCACCCTGAGTATTGTAAAGCTGGTCTACCACCAAGTATTAGCATATTCTTTAAGATACAGTTTTTAATGACCAGAATTCAGAAACTCAAACATCTGAGAAGATTATAACCTTTCCAATTAAGAACATGCATTTTCCCAAGATGATTGAGCAAAATCAATTGATGTTTTGAGATTTTTAGTATAGAATTCTTGCTATGATATCATGATTCTGCCTAAAATCTTTATGATTGCATTCTAAATTGAGCTATGGTTAGCAATAATCAATTCTAAACAGTTTTGGAAAGTAGGGAAAATGTCTATGTAGTACCTATTTACTTAGATTTGTACTATTCATTTTTCTACCCAATAATCTAGCTTGTAATAAATTTCAGTTCAGTTTGTATGCTTATGTGTGTGTATTTTCAAACAAAATGTTGCTTACGTTGTACTTTCTTGAGTGGGAAGAATTTAATATACCGATCTCAATTGGTTTCTTACATGCTTAAAATTCAGCTGAATTAAATAAAGTTAATAAGCCTTTAAGGGGCATTCATGGTATGTCTGGTTCTCTCACTTCTGCAGGTGACTTATTTTTCAATATTTGGAGCTCATAGTGAAGCAACTCAGAAAGACAGTTATCTAAATTCAAATTATCACTTTATGCTCCATGAACTAGGTATTATTATGTAAATAAGGTTATTAGAGATGAGATTATTTCCATGGTGGATCTCAGAAGGCCAAGAAAGCATTCAAGATAAAAATAAATGACATATAACATGCAGACTGCAGTAATTGTGAACAGAATTCTGGAGAAAGACCTTCTTTGTTGTTTGGTAGGTCATGTCACAGATATGCCCACTTGCATGTACCTCCCACATAGAAAATTGGTTTCCTCATTGTAGTTGATGCAAGAAATTTGTGGAAATGAAAGCAAAAACTGTGAGTGGTGATTCTAAACTCTCATATTCTAGAAAGTCACCCTGTGTGAGGCTCTGTGGGGCAAACATTGTTGAGTCAGGTAGCCATTTTTGACATAAAGCTTGTGATCCTCTCAAATTCATTATGGCTCTTTTGTTTGCAGCTTCTGACACCAGAGTTCAATGCCTTCCAAAGAACATATGGGAAATAGAAACAATGTGACAGAGTTTGTCCTCCTGGGGCTCACACAGGACCTGGAGGGGCAAAAATTTCTGTTTATCCCATTCTTACTCATCTACATTGTGACAATAGTGGGTAATTTGCTTATCATGGTGACCATTATGACCAGCCAGTCTCTGGGTTCTCCCATGTACTTCTTTCTGGCTTATTTGTCATTTATAGATGCTACTTATTCTACTGTCATTGCTCCCAAGATGATTGCAGACTTGCTCTATGAGAAGAAGACTATTTCCTTCCAGGCTTGTATGACTCAAGTCTTTCTAGATCACTTATTTGCTGGTGCTGAAGTCATTCTTCTGGTGGTGATGGCCTATGACCGATATGTGGCCATCTGTAAACCACTTCATTATCTAATCATCATGAATCGGAGGACATGTGTTCTTATGCTGCTAGGGGCCTGGACTGGAGGCTTCCTGCACTCATTGGTTCAATTTCTTTTTATTTATCAACTCCCTTTCTGTGGCCCCAATGTCATTGACAACTTCGTGTGTGATATGTATCCCTTATTGAAACTTGCTTGCACCAATACCTACCTCATTGGAATTTCTATGATAGCTAATGGAGGAGCCATTTGCACTGCCATTTTCTTCATTCTTCTAGTTTCCTATGGGATCATATTATACTCCCTTAAGACTCATAGTTTAGATGGGAAACTCAAAGCCTTCTACACCTGTGCATCCCATATAACGGTGGTTATTTTATTCTTTGTTCCCTGTATCTTCCTGTATGCAAGACCTAATACTACCTTTCCCATCGATAAATTCATGACTGTGTTTTTAACATTCATAACTCCCATGCTGAACCCCTTAATCTATACTCTGAGGAATGCAGAAATAAAAAATGCCATGTGGAAACTTTGGAGTAAAAATGTGACCTTAGTTGGTAGAGAGTTGTATTGCTCATGCAAAATATGATATTACTCTTTTACAGAATCAGGACTATTTTCACTATCAGTGATTGTATCTCAAAAATTATCTCCTTGGGTTAGTTAAACCTATTTATTCTGAAACAGCTATATAAATCAATCTTTATTGAATTGGAGTATGTTATAACCCTTACAAAGCAAGAGAATTGTGTGAGTTTAATCCCTGACATATGTAATCATGTTGTGTTAAGATTCTTCAATGGGCATCAATTTTTGGTTTTATTTCAAGTTTTTGTTTGTGGGGTATGGTACCTCCATGGAACATAAAAATATAGAACTTATTCTCTTTTAGTCCAAGAGAGTGAAATTTTAAAATTAAAAATTCACATTGTTAAAAAAAGCTTTAACTAACAATAAAAATAAATATCTTGGTCAAATTAATTAATTTGAAATTTCACTGTACATATTCGTAGTTGAGGATAGATCTATGAGAAGTTAACTTTATTAGCTTTATACTGTGATGGTAGCATATGTTGATTTGTATATTCGAGTTAAGTTTTAGACAGAAAAATTAAATTATTCAACCCATTGTGTACATCTATATCAAATGGCCTCTTCTGGTAATTGAAATACATATTTAAGTCACTCATGTCAGAGTGGAACCCATGGTCTGCCTACATTAAATTAATTCTATTCTCTGGGTATACTTTTTTAAAAATTGCAATAAATGTTAAACCTTTTGGGAATGTGCTTTGTTTTACATATGAATGTCTTTCTCATTCTCTGTAAACTGTGTTCTTGACTTAAGTGAGAACTCAAAGGTACCATTTCTGTTTACAATTGCTCTACAGAAGTTTTGGAGGTTGATTACTATATTATGAAGATCGTTTTTCAAGGCCCTGGCATTACAAATTACCTTGTTGAGAGGTCAACCCATAACATGGATTGGACATGAAATTGGTATTTTTTGCCCTCATTCTTCTTTCAATTTATAATTGGATCCAGTTAGTGTACTTAGCAATATTAATGCTTCCATTTATTTAACATGTATTGAATAAATGCCAGACATGAATTTTCATTTATTCTTCAATGAAGAAATAAAATGTAACCTAGGTATTTTAATCAGAAAGGAATCCAATATAGTGGATTAAATGCTTCAAGATTACCAGTAGTAAAGGAACTGACACCTGGATACTCGTGTGAACTCTGTTGGGATCAAGGATTCACCACCTAAGCTGTGATGCAGAGATGAGGAAGCCTGATTCAGGATGAAAGATCTGTGCATATACTTCTTAAGTTCTTTCCTTGTCCTGATTATATATATATATAATATATATATATATATATAATATATATATATATTTAAGTTTTAAAGTTTTGCTTCTTACATTTACATCTTTGACCCATATAGGATATACATTTTCAGATATGGTGTGAGGTAGAAATATAGTTTCCTTTTTATTCTAAGAATAAATTTTCCCCGCACATTTATTGAATAACCCTTGAATTTCCCACAATGCTGCAACACCTCCACCTTCATACATAAAAAATCCATATATCTATTCTTCTATTTCTTAGCTTTATATATTGTTCAATTAGTTGATCCGTGAACAGTAATACAGTACCTAGATTACTGCAATTTTTCAGATACTATTGTAACAAAAAAGTCACCCCAAAATGTAGTGGCTGAAAATACCAACAATCACTTTATTGCTTCAGATGGTTTCAGTGAGTCATGAATTTGGGAGCAGTTCAGAGAGGTACTTCTGTTCAGGGTCTCTCCTGAGATTGCAGGCAGAAATTGGCTGAGCCTGAGGTCATCTGAGAAGTTTCTACACTCACATGTCTTGTACCTAGGCCTGCAAGTCTTGAACAGTGGGGACTAGAACAACTGGTATTCCTTGAGATCGTAATATGAGGCCCTAATATGATAGGAGATCGTATGATAGGATGTGTCCTTGTAAAGAGAGGAAGGAACATTAGAGTTCACTCCCTCAAATGTGTGCACAGAAGAGAAGCCATATGAGGACAGTGGGAGAAGGTGGACCATCTACAAGCCCAGAAAAGAGACCTCACTAGAAACCAACCCTGTTGCGACGTAGATCTTGGACTTCCAGCCTCCAAGACTTGGGAAAATCAATGTCTGTTTAAGCCTCCCAATCTGTAGTATTTTGTTATGACAGTAGAAACAGATTCATGATGATGATGATGATAAATAATCTAGATTTGGTGAATAAAGCCTTGAATTGAATTACCATAATTCAATTCAGGAAGATTGTAGCTTCTCATCCAATCACCAGATATGAATAATTTCTAAAACTAGCACTTTTTAAATGAGTGAATCATCACAAATCCTTGAATAAATACTCTATGATGCCACCAAAAATAAGGGGTGTGTATCTTTCTCTAAGGCATCTGAGACCATTTGCCAGGGTAACTGTGCTCTGGAAAAAGAAAAATACACAAATATTTCTGGAGATACTGGAAATATGTTGCAAACCAATGCTCATTCCTGGGTAACAGAATGCCACTGTGGTCTAGTGGTCAGAAAGCAGATGGAAAGTGAAAGAATATTGGCTCAAAGCTATCATAGTGGGCCAGTTCTGCATCCATTATTAGACTATAGACTACATGTATTCTCTATAAGTACATTTCCATTTTGGATCATTAATCACTGGAGTATAGTTTTATGGAATGAAGGACTGAGTAGAACTATTTAGAACTGATTTTCTTCTTCAAAATAGTAAGCAAAAAGCAGTAAGCATATCCTTGGACTACCAAAGAGATTCAATGGACATAGGGAGTGAGACTTAACTACATTCCCATTTAATTTACTTGTTTGGCTTGGGAATAAAATGGAAAGACATTCTAAATCTGTGTGGAAAATGGAAGCTTAAATAAATTAGGCAAGCCAAAAATGTCTTTTGTTTGAATTACTCTCAACAAATGAGAATATCAGCTATCCCATGTAGGTAAAAGATAAGTAGGTTGAGCTATAAGAAGTCTAAATTTTTATCCTTAATTTGTCACTATCTGAATGTGTAATTTGGGAATATTTCTTTCCATCCCTGGATCTCAGTTTCTTCACATGGAAAATAAAAAGTATGGATTAGGTACTTTTCAATAATTAATTCAATCCCCAATGCCTAAGATTACTGACTGACCAAATTCTAGCCCCTCTGTGCTTGAATTTTCAGAAAACTCTCAGAATATAATATGAAATCCAAGATTAGTGTTCTTCTTATAGTTACACACAGAAAACACTTTCTAGGGACTTTTGATTGTGGAGAGCTCTAAAATTAGGCAGAGAACATTGTGGAACTGAAATAGTAGAAACTCGTTTTGATTCTACCACTTACTAGTTACACCATCCTGGAAAAGTAAAAGAAATCATTCTAAGCCTCAGTTTTTCTATCTATGAGTTGGGAATAATGTATTCATTCTTTAGAGTTATTCTGAGATTGAATATGAGAGATTATAAACAACGTACTTGATACCTTCTTTAGATAGTGAATGTAGAGCAAATTAGAAATGGAAAGGGACAGTAATATGTTATTAACTGACTTGACAAAGTAAATAGGTAACAGTAATTCCAAATTCTCCTAAGAGAATTCTTAAAGGAAGAAGTTGATATATTTCAAATTCCCAAGTGTTTTTTTGAATCTATTTGTTAATGTCTCCACAACTTAGAATGAAAATCAGTCTTCTTAAAGCCTTTGTTGAAAGATGGTTGTTAATGAAGGATCATACTACCTATCTTAGTAAGTTTTCACATAGGAGGTAATGTGGGGCTAACGTAAAAATCAGGACTTGAGGCCAGATGAACTTGAATTATATCTTTAGGTCTGTTCCTCATTAACTATATATCTTAGGGTACGAGGTTTTCCTTTTCCATGTCTCAATTTTCCTTTCTGTAAAAGGAGGAGCATTTCCACCACATATAACTCTTTCTAAAAAAATATTAAATGAGATAATTTACATTTTTTCCATAATGCCTAGCACATATGAAAGCACATATGAAGTCAATACCAATTTTTGATTATTACTTATAATAATAATGGCCAACCTTCACACAAAACTTTATAATTACCAAATAATTCACATGCCTTAAGAGAAAAGTAAGCTTAATTTCCTTAGTCCTTAATCATCTCAGAACTTTAATATTTCTGAGACCACAAAAATAAAAATAGAGATGAGAAAAAGCTATTGGGACATTCAAAATAGTAATAAAATTTCTTTTAAAAGTGTCTTCTCTAAAATTAGAATGACACATAATCATGATTAAAAAATATAAAATACAAATAGGTAAAAAAAGAAAAAAATCTTAGTTTCAGCATTACAATAAACCTATAAAGTAAGACTGTTTTTGCTCTATTTACTTTCTGCATTTTTTCATGAATAATTTTAAATAATTGTACCTATACCTTTATAGGTATAGGTACAATTTATACCTATACTCTTTCTAATAAGAGTATAACATTTAACAATATGGTAACTGAGCGTATTTCTTTGAGTTGAAAGATTTTGGAGAAATGTTTCTTTAATTCCTGAAGGCAAAACTGGGTACCTTATTTAAATGCACTGAAATGACTTTTAGCTTTTATTCATTGATTGTGTAGTAGACCTTTCCTGTTTTGATTCCTATGTAGTTTGGTTCTTAATGAGGGAGAGCACTGCTGGGAGAGGCACTTTTGGTTGTTATATATGTGTTATTTATTGCATGAGAGAGGCTAGTGAAAACCTCATGGTTACTGGTTGAAGATGTGGCTTCTGCTATCACATTTGAAAGCAATCAAAGCAAAAGATTTCTCTCTCCAAGAGTTGAGATGATTTTATTTGATAAAATATAGTAAATAACTGGAACCTCATTGTTTCCAAAATTTTAATCTCTACACAAGAAATAATACTCCTTTGCTTCATGAAGTGATAGAAAATAAACAGTTCTTTCAAGATTAGATATTTAGAATTCTATTCCCTACTTTAAGTATTCACTTAATCTTTAGTGCAAAATCTTGAAGTGCCTAACTCTGTGTACTAGTCACAATGACA